GTCACTTGTACCGCTTATGCAACTTTGCAGCAGTGTTAAGCAATAATGATAGCATCAATACGATGGATTCAGATCACCTCATTTCTTTTTGAAGAGCCATCAGCTTAGACTCATTACAGTGAATTTTTTTAAACACAACGCGAGTCTTTCTGTCATTGCAAAAATAAGAGGCACCGATGTACATTGGTTTTGTATCTGGTGTAGCTAGAATACTGTTTACACAATGAAGTCAGATTGCACTGATTTCTCCTCTTCACTGGTCACATTTTTCCCCCATGGGGAAAATAAACTGACTTGGACTACTTCAGTCTCTGCCATTTTAAATGGTAGTTCTTTGCACATTCCCTTTGACTTTCATGTGTGTCAAAGAGGGATGGAGCAAAACTTAGACAGGTGGCTCGCTTTTGTGGTGTATGAAGTGAGCTCTTTTTAAAAAAGAAAAAACACCACAACCACACAAATCCTGCCTCTATCTTGGAAACCAAAGCATGTGAAAAAGCAAGGTTTAGCGCCAGTAGCATCAAGTGTTGTCTGTAATACAGGAGACCCAGTTTTGGGAGATGAAGGAAAGGGTAGGAGCCGACATTCCCACCAGTTAGCCAGGGTCAGTGCCCTCCTGGCTGAGCCATAAAGCAGTGTCGAGACCTTTTAACCTTCGTAGTGGAGTAATAGCAAGAGTCAGGAGAAAACAAAACTGGCCCTAGTTTTGTTTACATATAGTCACTGTATTTGAACTGTTTCCCCAACACTAATTGTCCTAACTATAGCTGAAGTCTCTGGGATTACAGTCTCCCTTCCTCTCCTCCAACCTGGAGTTGTGGGCCTTTTTTATTTCTCCTTTCTCCTGCCATACCTCCTGAACCCGTGGGTGCCACTTCCCTTGTTCTCTGTCATCTGCAGCCCTAGAGTTTGCCTTTGTGGAACCTCCACCTGATAGCAAAAAGGTTAAACTTTCAAGGGGCAGTGGACTCAGTCTGATTAGCACTGCATTGTCTCCTGTCCATAGTGTGCTCAGTAGCTCAATCTTGGATATGTTCAATACAGCTGTTTGAATGCACATCTACAAACACAGACATGCAGTTTTTCATACCTCAGCATGCAGAAGCATCCGAGGTAAAGATAATCCAGGGAGTTTGACAGAATTCTTTACAAACCCTCAAAATACAGATCTACCTCTATCCTGTTATTTTAACTCGGTAAATGAAGTCAGTTACTGTCCCCATAACATTCTCTTTCCCAAGAACGTGTCCATTTCCATCTTCAAATGACACATTATTTGCCTCTGTCTTCATCTATTTGTCTCAACCCTACTGCGTGCAATTGCTTCTGTTTATTTGCTCATAGGCCTTGCCGTTCCTACACTTTACTAAAAAGTTACAATAAATCCTTGCGTAATGTCTTCCTAACCGCAACTGTACCTTGAAACATAAGTAGTGATAAACCTTGAAGCTTAGCTAGTAAAACTGCAAATACTACTTTCATATAGCGTAAGTGTTACGAAATATTTACCTCGGCAATACACTGTGACAATGAATTCTGTGGATTAAAAGTAGTACTTCCTTTTATCCATTTTTAAATGTTGCCTTTCAAGTTTCAGCAAGTGCCTTCTTTTAATTTGGAAAAGATGATCTCAGCTGGTCTTCTCTTAACCACTCATTTTTAAATACCTCAGTCACGGCTCCTGTTCTCTTTCCAAATTAGTTTCACAATTTCCTCTTTATGTGATTCTTGGCTTTAAAAAAAGTAAAGAAAGCAAAAACAGGAAAAAAACTTGATCAAAACTGAAAACATTAGATTTATGTAGTACCATAATAAGTTTTCCTTGTCTTTCTATTTCAAACATCTGATTTTTATTTTATTTTTTGCTTTTATTGTGCTTTGAGAAGAGGTCTTCACTGAAATATCTTCAGTAATAGCCAAGTCTAGAGAGCAGCAAATGTATCAGTTTTCTACAAATATTTTCTCAAAGAATCAGTGGAATTCATTTTGCTAGTTTTTTGCATCACTTGGTTTGCTTTCCATGGCTATTTTAGCAAGCAAGTTCATATAGAAAATGAACCAACATCAGGGAATATATTAATGGAAACCAAGCCAGGAATTCAAACCAACTGTTTGCACTGGGAACTTGATGCAAAGATTCATCCTGACCCGTAGTAGGTTCTATTGACTTCAGTGGATATTGGATCAGACACTAAGTTTGCAGATAGTAGAGTAAAATGTCAAGCGTTGCAAATACCATTGTGGACATAGAAATAATGTGAAAGAGCTAAAGAGCTGGGAAATAAGATTCATGTGGGACGTGCAAGTTAAAACATCTTGGGGGGGAAATATTAAAGGGGAGACATTTGGAAAGCACTATCGCAAAAAAACTAAAGCTGTTAGAGGACAGCAAGTTAGATGTATGTTTACAATGAAATGATAAAAGCCCTGTGGAATAATTAGACTGGATAAAGCAAAGCATCAGTTCATCAGAGGAATACATTTCTATAACTGATAAGAACCTCCTCTGTAATATATTTATTTATACATATTTTTATA